ACACACACACACACACACACACACACACACACACACACACACACACAAAAGAGATAGGAAGAAGGGATGAGTAATGACAAATATGAAAGAATGGCATGAGGCCACAAGAACAGTTAAGAGGAAGGCTAAAGTTCAGAATATCCTGAAGTTCCTAAAGAAAATGCTAAGGAAAACAAAAAACTTTGAAACCTAGATCTGAAATAAGAACAGAAAGGATGGGTCCACTGCCCAACTGGAAAGGATAGTTTATTATTAACAGATAACAGAAAGAAAGTAGAACTATTAAATTCCTATTTTACTACCATCTTCTTCACCCAGGAGAATGATTCACAAACTAGAATGATTATACTAAACATCACTGAAGGATAAGGAGATAGCAGAATGATAAATTTAGATCTTGAAGGGACCCCATTTTACAGAAGAACAAACTGAGACACAGAATAGAGCTGGTGACTTGCCCAGTTCACAAAGTTGGTGAGGTAGTCTTGGAGTCAAGACTTCCCAACTCCAAGTTGTGTTCTCTCCTCCCTCCTCTTCCTAGCTATCTCTGCTACCATTCATTTCTAAATAATCAATGTTGTATGGATCTCCTAGGGAAGGATCATACAAAGATGTGGACAAAAATCAAAGGGAATGAGAAGGTATAGATTTTTTTATTTTTTAATATTTACTGGTGGAGGAAATTGTTGTTGTTTGTCCTTTATTCTTGAGGAGGACCATGACATCAGGAAGGTGATGCCATGACTTGCAAGTGAACTGGATTTAAGTGAGGGAGGGCTATGCAAAGTCACCAGCCTCATAACTGTGAAAAGATGACAAATCCATCTAAAATAATCTGGAGGAAGGTGACACACACACACATGTTGCTTCCTACTCAATATTTTTATCTATGACCTTGATGAAAACACAGAATGGATGATAATCTACTTATAAATGACACACATTTGTGAAAGACAGCTAGCATGTCAGAGGACTGAACCTTTGATTTCATCGATACTGGAAACTCCAAGATAAGGAAACTCCCTCTACTGTGGCAGATCATCACCTCAGAGTTGGAACTTAACCCAGGTCTGCCTGTCTCTGAAATGACCTCTCTTATACAGGTTGAAAAAGGTTAAATATGTAAGTCCAAGATGGGGGTAAGGGCAGGGAATAAGAAAGGGAGAAGAAGCCAGCTTCACAGCAGTTCATATAAAAAAGATCTTGGGGTTTTAAATCGACTACTAGCTCAATATTAACTAAACAGTAGGATGTAGCTGCTTAACACCCACACACATGTACACACACACACATAAATCAAACATTAGGGTGAATTTATACAAATAAAGCATTTGAAACAAGGGAAGTAATAGTCTGATTGTACTCCGCTCTGGTTAGACCACATCTAAAATATCATGTTCACTTATGAGTACCACACTTTAAAACAAAGAATGACAGACCTGAGCTTGTTTGGGTGACTAAAAAGAAACAATGAAATCTTTATAAACCATGCTATATGAAGGATGCTAAAAGAGCAGGTGATATATCCTGGGCAAGAAAAGACTTGGTGCTATGACAGCTGTCTTAATATCTGAAGGGCCATCACATAGAAGATAGGTAGACATCATTATTTAAGAAGGCAGAACTAGAAGGAAACAGATTTTGACTCCACAAAAAGAAAAACTTTCTAAAAATTATAGCTACCCAAAAAAGAAATGCTTTGTGTTTACACACCCCCACATCCCCACTCACACCCACCTCACATCTCCTCTTCCCCCAAAAAAGCCCCAAACTAAGTTTCTGTCATGGGAAGTTCTTAAGCAAGGGCTGGATGACCACTTCCCAGACATATTAAAGGGAGTTCCAATATTAAGTGGAGGTTGACCTAAATGATCTATGAAGTTCCTTCCAACCCCAAGACTCCAGTATGCCCAAAATTCAGAAAACTCAAATCCTACCCTGTATCAGTCGATAAGCATTTAATAAGCGCAAGGGATTCATTGTGCTAAGTGTCTGGGATACAAAGGAAGGCAAAAAACCCAAAAAACCAAAATGAACAAGCCCTGCCCTCAAGGAGCTTACATTTTAAAGGGGGAGACAACATGAAAATAACCAGGTACATTCCACATCAGGTAATCTAGTCAACATCTCAAATGTGTCCAAGGTACCACATGTCCACATTCTGGGTTTTCTTTTTTTATGGAGGCAAGGGAGTGGGAGGGGGAAAAAGTTGAAAACTACTGAGAGAAATTTCTAAAGCACACAATACTGAATGATCTATGATTCTGAAATGGTACCCACATCAAAGGTACTTACTTAACTTTCCGCCAAGGCAGTAATTAAGAAATGCTTTACAAACAGTGATTATGCTTCCTAGCAAGTTAGGGACATATTCTCATCTATCATCACCCTCATTTTAGAGACAGGGAAGCTGAAAGAGAGTGGTTATATGACTTGCTGAAAGAACTAAAGCATTACTGGTATTCTCCAACACCACAGCACTGTTGGAAGACTTTCATATGAAATATCTAGTTTCTTAGGGATGGCAAGATTCACAAAGCATTTTCACAAAACAGGGAATGAAAAAAGAGAACTCCTAGCTCGGGCTCACTCTTACTGCTTCTTAGATGAGCCCAAACATATACTCTTTACACGAACTAGAAAATATTTCCATTAACAGGTTTGCTTTAGATGAAAAGATGGTCTGACTGGCCAAACTATTTGGAAAGCAAAAGATTCCAAATGTAGAAGAAACTTTTCACATAATTTGAGACAGCAATTACTGGAAAAAAAAAGCCTGCAAAAGGAGTGCCTGGCAGTCTGACACAGCTTGCTGGGTGATGCAATGGATCTGAAACAGCAAGCCAGGCAAGCTATAAGAGGCTACTGTCGATAGAAACCCTCTTTGGAGAGTTACATTTTCCATCCAAACAGGCAATCCATAAATCAGACTAAGGAATTAACTTCTCAGACAATTTAAGTACTGTTTGCCACAGACCTAAGCACCCGGCAACAAACTTTAAAAAATACCTCCTCCCCTGGTCTAAAACAAATTTATAAGAGCAATACTCTTGTGAGGGTTTTTTCTCTCTTTCTCTATTTCCCCCCCCCCCCACTGCCCTTTAAAGTCTATCAGACAAGTGATGATGATAAGTGATCAAAATCTGACGCCTTAAGGTATTTTCACATTTCTAAACAGAATCCTCTAGCTTTCAAGAGACTAGGGAGGCAAATCAACTTCCTCATTAGAAGCTCCAAAGAATGATCCACATTGAATGACTGTGCTTTGGAAAGTATGGAACATAGTGATGGTCTTATTCAAGAATTAATGGTTCAAAGTTACATTCTGCATGGCTGATTTTTGTGGTTTGATTCCCTCCACTGCAACTGTAGAATAAATGAAACCTCATCATAAACTCTTAGCTGTGGAAAGATTCCCAAAATATTCTTCCAATAAATCTTTGCCTTACACTAAACCCCAAACAAAACAAACAGCTGATGAAACAGCACTCTGGTTGTTACTCTGAAACTGAGTAATGGACTCAAAAGTACAAATGAATATTGGTGCAAATTACGTTTACCTGGTGATGATGTCAAGAGTGGTAACTTGAGGAATCTGAATCTGCTGAGGTGTCAACCCATGCTGTTCCAGTTGCTTAGGGATCAGGTGCCTGTGGGCAATTTCTATCTTCTCTTCCTGTGTATACCCTGCAAAAGGAACGAACCTGTTTGGTACCTGTACACACACAGCACATATATACAGTGTCATGTTCGTCATGCATTCCATAGGTCTGCACAATTCAACTGGTTCTAAATTTGGAAGAAGCTATTTCTTTCTCTCTTTTTGAAAGTAAAAAAAAAAAGTATGCTTCAATCTGTATTCAGACACCATCAGCTGTCTGTGGATGGAGAGCATTTTTCATCATAAGACCTTCAGAGTTGTCTTGGATCACTGTACTGCTAAGAACAGCTAAGTCATTCACAGCTGATCATCTTACAATATTGCTCTTACTTGGTCCACAGTACATTTCACTTTGATCAGCTCATGTAAGTCTTTCCTGGTTTTTCTGAGAGCATCCTGCTCATCATTTCTTACAGCATAATAGTATTCCATCACAATCACATAGCACAATTTGTTCAGCCATTCCTCAATGGATGGGTACCCTCCCAATTTCCAATTCCCTGCCACCTGAAAAGAGCTGCTATAAATATTTCTGTACATAAGGGTCCTTCGGAAGAAGTTATTTCATAGGATCAAACCAACAGAATATTTAGAACTAGAATGGATCTTAGAGACCATCTAGTACAACGTCCTCATTTTATAAATGAAGAACCGACACCAAAAGGTTAAATGATTTTGCCAAAGCCTAGCAGGTTGTAAGCTGCAGAAACAGGATATAAGCTGAGGTACCTTGACTCCAAGCCTAGTGCTCTGTCTACATACTATGCTGGAGGGCTTTCAAAATGTTAACATTTATTTACCTTGAGAGTAATGAAATTTAAGTCTCTGAACCACATGTTGCTGGAATTTCCAACTTTTCCACATTTACCAGCATTTACCAAATGCTGCATATCTGCTATCTGGGTGACAAATCCCTCAAAGAAGAAAATCCCCAGGAGCAAGTAGGGGAAAATTTTCTCTTCTTCTTATATATTATTTCTCCTATCATTTATATTAGAATGCTTAATATCACTTATTGCTTATTTGACAAAACTCCATAAAAATAAAACTGAACTCCAAATATATACTGGGTCTCAAGTCAAGGAGGTAAGGGTATACATGGGTTGTAGATAGGACTTTGATTCCTATGGATCACTTCAAACTCAGTTCCAAAGACAAAGATAGAGAACCCCATCTGTAGCATTTTTTACAATAAGCTATCAGATGTTTAATCTCCTTTGGAATGACTTACTGTTTAGTTCTTAAAATGTCAGCTGTACCCACCATTGTGTTCTATTTATATTCTCCCTCAGTCTCTAAGGTAAATCCCTCTCACCCACACGTTTGGCTTGATGCTCTAGGACTGAACGATTAAGAGTTGTACAACAATAAAATGGGCTGTTCTCCATTACTGAAGTGTTCAACCAGAGTCTGGCTGACCCCTTGTTAGGAATCTCTGCATGGAGAAAGATTGTGACCTCTAGGATTCTGAGTCTAAGGCTAAAAAATGACAACAACAACAAAAAACCCACTATTTTCCCAAACTCCAACCAGACAAATGTAAACTGTAGCCAAAAGAAAAAAACAAAACAAAAACCCCCCACCAGACTAGGAAAACCTCACCTAATACTTCAAATGTTCTTGGAACTAATAAACACAAGACAGAATTCAGGGAAAGTCTTCTCCAATGAGCTTTTACTATTCTATAGAATATATCCTCCAAAAATATAAAAATTATGTATAGCACTTGTGAATAGATTTACATTGCCCTTCAAAGCCTGTAGACACGATTCCCCTTGAACTGGAGAACTCCTTCATGATGTACAGCCTTCTTTTACAAACCAAGATTAAAAATATGAATTGACAGAGCATCTGTTGAACAGAAAGGGAAGTTACTGAAACAGCAGAAAAGCCAGAAAACAAGGTGCCAAAACCTGCCAAAAGAGAAAGCTGACATCATCTGTCCACCTCTTCAGCAGCTGTCCTGTGTATTTCACTTCACAACAGTATGTCTTATGGAGTCTCTCCCTTAATTTGGAGATCCCAGGCAATTTGGTCTCATTTACTTTATTTCTGTCTCTGTAAACACGTAGAGCTAACCTAGCCACCCATCGTTACCTCCATATGTTTTAATGAATATACGAGCCTACACGCCATAAGAGATGATCAGAAAAACCAATTGTGGTCCATCCTCTATCAAAATATAGATTTTATATCTCACAATCATTTTTGCTATGACAAATCTTAGGCAGTGAGGGGAGCAGGGAGTGTTGCTTCAAAGAGTAAATTTGCTTAGAGAATTTCATTCTCCACAGCTTAGTAATGGCTAAGAGGAAAAAAGTAACAGTCTACAAATACTTGAGGGGCCCAGATAGCAAAAAAAGTAGAGGCTCTACAATAAGTCTAAATACCAAACAGGTAATTAAGCTGCCCACTAGGAACACTCCTCCTTAAGAGGGAGAACTGGATTACAGGACACTCTTCCAGAGGAAAAGGTAGAAGACCCTTCACTTGATACTCCTGGTCAGCTAAACTGACAATCAGAAGATTTATTTTCAGAAACTCCAAGCACTGGTCCTAAAGGAATGAACTCATCCTCTTTCACCTCTAATATCTACATTTTTAGAAACTGGATAAAAGAGAAATATTAAGTTGTCATAACATTTTTTTTTTTTTGGGTGAGGCAATTGGGGTTAAGTGACTTGCCCAAGGTCACACAGCTAGTACGTGTCAAGTGTTTGGTCTGAGGCCGGATTTGAACTCAGGTCCTCCTGACTTCAGGGCTGATGCTCTATCCACTGCGCCACCTAGCTGCCCCATAACATTTTAATCTTGTAAGTTTTAACTTATGAAACTGATATATACCCAAGTGGTTCTTGAGTTGAGTCTCAAGGTATATGCTTATAGAAAAGTAGCCAACTGATCTGCCATGGCTTTTGCAACACAGGAAAAGAAAAATTTTTCCTCAGTTAAAAATCCACTTACGATCAAACTTGAAACCAAACTCAAAACTCCTGAATGCTTTGATAAATCAACTTCCTTAATCAACTCCCAAGCAGAATGATCCTTTAAAAGGAGTATGTGCAAAAAGTCATGAAGTATAGAGAGACCTGATGGTCTCATTCATGCATCAGGGTTACCTGGCACCTGGATGATCTCCATTCTGTCCAACAAAGCAGGTGGAATAGTAGCTGTAGTGTTTGCAGTAGCTATAAAAAGGACCTGGGAGAGGTCAAAGGCCACATTTAGGTAATGATCTGTGAAGTTATGGTTCTGTTCTGGATCCAAGACCTTGAAGAGAACAAACAACATTATCTCTTGATAAGATGCATCTGATTCAAACCACAAACATAAATATCACCCAGAGTAAGACCACCACCTACATCTTTGCTTACCTTCTAAGTAACAAGGTTAGTTTTTGGAACACAGAAACTGAAGTCAGGCCTCAGGCTTCAATCTAAAGTCTACTAATGAATCACCATGTGACTATGAAGTCATTAATCCTGCTGGACCTGTTTTTACACTTCATAAAACGAAGCTAACACCTCTTATGCTAAATGGTACATGAAGGTAGGTGGATCTGTAAAGTATTCAGAAATACTTGGACAGAAGGTATGAAATATAATTATAAACATTCTTGTGCCACACTGTGGTGGAGTGAGGGAGAAAATAAAAGATAACTCTAATTGAGAGTAAACTGGTAAATACATCCTAATGAATATACTAATGTAAAATAATAAAATGATAACTTACATTTATCTAGTATTTGAAATATATTATCCCATTTGATTCTCACAATGACTCTATGTGTTCAAAACTACAAGTATGATTATTATCATTTTACAGACAAGGAAACCGAGGCTTACAGAGGTTCCATGACCTGCTCAAGCCCCATACAGCTAACAAGTCCTCGAGGTGAGGTTTGAATTAAGGCTTCTTCTGACTCCAGATACAGTCATTTCTCCTTTACACCAATTGCCACTTTAAAAAAACAAGGTTTTAAACTCAAGATCAGGTGACTTTTCACGTGTGCTCCTAAAGGGTAAAATGTGACCTGAAAATGCCCTATTACGAAACATCAATAAAGAGTAACATCTACCATGTAGAGATTTAAAACGTTTGATTAATTACACTTTATTTATTTATTTAAAAGGAAAGCTGAGTCATTTTTCTTTCAGTTTCTGCTCAGAGTGAATATCACATGCAGTCTTGTTGGGACCTCATACTGGACTACAAAGAAGCCACAGATGTTAATAACTATAAAAGTCTTCTAGCTTTTCTACCTTCTCATGGCATGCAAGACACTTAGTGGACAAGGAAACGTATCTCTCAGTTTCGTTTTTAAAGACCTGATGGGAGTAAGCAGGCTGTGGCATGTTACCAATAAGCATCTGCATGTAAGAAGTTGTGTAAAGCTGAGACTTTCAATAGGTAGCCAAGACTCTGGATAGGTTCAATAACTGACTCCCTTATAATCATAGTCAAATCAAGGCAAACATTATTTATTGAGGGGTTACTATATGTCTAGGTACTGCACTAAACACTGGGCATAGGCAAAAAAAAAAGTCTTCAAAATGCTCACATTCTAATGAGGGAGACAAAAGTTAATAACAGGTACATTCAAGATATAGAGAGAATAGCAGGAAGATAATCTGAAAGGGGAAGGTATTAGAAGCTGGGGAGATTGAGAGAGACCTCCTGAAGTTGATGGCATTTGAACTAAATCGTGAAGGAAGTCTGCGAAAAAGAGGCAAAGGTGACTGAGCAGAGCATTCCAGGCATGGGAGATGGAGTACTGTGTTTGAAGAACTCCAAGGAAGTCAATTGAGATTAGCAGACATAAATTTGTAGTGATCCCCATCACTATAATTCTGTGATTTACTCCAGCTCTGATGTTCAGCAGTACATAAGGCAGTTGGTAGCGGTAATCCAGGGATGGGTCTTGACAAGGCATGATCAGTGACAGGACAAGGGGGCAGGGGAATTGAGGGTGGAAGACAATGTCAAGTTGAGCTGGTTCACCAACAGACTGAGATAGGGAAGGGAGAAGTATGTAGCCAAGGTAGATGGTCTGCAAAAGTACAGGGCAGGGTTGGGGTGGGGTGGGGAGTGGAGGCAGGAGTTCATAATGAGGATAGAGAATAAGGTTAGGGCTTGCAAGGCATAGGGAAAGATGAAATGATAGAATGTTATGATCAGATATGGGAATTTCAGAGTTGATTAACATGGTCAGAACCAAATACAACATAAGGAATACAACAAAATCAGAACCAAATACAACAAATATAAGAACAGTCAGATTAAACTGGTGACGTCAATAGACAGAGATCTAACAACTCAAGGACCCAAAGTACTAGTATGAAAGATCAGCAAATACCACTAATGTCTATCTAGGTATCAAAATATCTGTGCTTTAGGAAAGAAAAGGCAAAGAATAGAGAATAGCAATCTAATTTTACAAAGCCTAAATGAAAACAGAAGGAACTTTGCAAGGACAATCCAGATCTCTTGATTTAATCCTGCGTAAGTGGAATATAAGCAATTCAAAAGAACCATTTTTACTCTAGCAGACTTGCTGTTGGCAGGGATTTCCTCTAAAAAGATACCAGAGAAATGAACAAAACTGGAAATCTGCAGGTCATGTTATAGTTTTGATGTCCATCCCACCCCCGGGCTCATCCAGGCAAACACTAACTTTGGCAAATATGTAAATTAACTTGAAGCCAACTATTAGAGCTATGTTGGCAAAAGTATTAAGTACTGCTCCTCCAGCAGCTCATAGCCACTGTGAAATTAATGTTATTTCACATTAATACTGAAAAAGCTTCATCAAGATTGGCTTCAGTTAGGTGACCAAATACCACTTAGTTCTAAGTATTTCCAGATAATCACATGCAATCTGTGCCACTTAGGACCAACTGGACACTTCCATTACTGGTACCCTGGGGTATTCCCATTACTATGTGCTTATATGACAGAATTCTTGATGAGATGAACCACAGAAAACTATTTTACTGTTGCCTTTTCACAGTCAATTTTAACAATAACAATCACCTTTCTATCACACTTTAAAGTCTGCAAATCACTTAAAGTATTAATATTCTTATACAGACTAGTGACTAGTGACTAGTTTGTAATAGAACCAGGTTAGTAAGTAAGGTGGGTTTTGAACCCTGTTCTCCAGCCTCTAAAACTAAGAGCAATGCTTTCTCTATCATATCATGCAGCCTCTTGGCTAGAAGAGATACAATAGAGATAAAATTCAAAACAAATGAAAACCTCTAATAAAATGATTGTTTTTTTCTTATCTGGAAAACACTGTCTTACAGAGAAGGATTATACTGAATCAAAAACCTTTATAGACTAGATCCCCCAAAGAAATGCAAGGAAGGGCTATAGTTTGCCTGTTAAAGTTTTGCTTATTCAAATCACACACTGCCAGGGTTCATCCTCGTGACCCAACGCAGTTTGCTAAAAGGCAAAACCTTTTAAATTTATGATTTAAAACCAAACTGTCTTCTAACAATCCCATAAAAGTAGGTTCCAGATATAGGAAATATAATTTCAATCATTCTTCCTATGTAAAGCCCAGTTACTTTAGTGCTATCAAATATGCTGCCTCATTTTGTCCTTATTGCATCCTTTGTGGGGTAGGTAGGGTAGATATTATTAGACCCATTTTATTTCTGTAGAGATGTAGTTTGACTGATGTGTCTAAGATCACCAATGGCATGAACACATGGCTGTTCCAAAACACAGGACAGTCATAAAATGAAAACTTTGAAAGGAAAACACAACACAGATGTACTGATTACAAGCAAGACTATGATTTAATACAAGATAGTGGTGAGAAAGAAAGTATTGCCATTATTTGGACCAATATGGTATGTGGGCAGAGCCGAGACTAAAATCCAGATCTATTACAGCCTCTGAGTACAATGCACTATCCACCGAAGTACATTGCTAACAGCTGAATAAATGCATTGTCAGCCCAACTGACTCCAAAGTACCTTTACCTTTCAGGTATCACAGTCCTATAATGAAATAAACTGACTAAAGGATACAACTTATTTGTTGTGGTGTGGTAGAAAGGGCACTCTACTCAGAGTTAGGAGACATTTGTGTTTGAATCTTGTCTTCAGTGTTTACCAGCTGTATAATCATGGCAAGTAACTTCAGCTTTGAGCCTTAATTTCCTCATCTATAAAATGGGAATATTAATAGTTCCAGTGTCCATTTTATGGGGTTGTTATTGGGATCAAATGAAAACTTTACATACATATATGTGTATAAAGTTTTATAAAATCTAGCTATGTTGGCTATTCATGTCACACAAATCTACTACCCTTTAATTTTTCTCACCTAATAAACTACTGTTTTTCTCATCTAACATTTTTCTGTGCTTTTGATTTCCAGATAAATGATTAGGGGCTATGGTCATCTTTCATGTTACTTATAATGGAATCTAAGCAAGCCCAGAATAATTTGGCATTACTGTCAAAATAATTTATCCTTTCCATTAAGAGATGAATATATTCCGTGTCATAAGTGATACAAACTATGCTCATTAAGAGTGCTCATAATTAATTACTTTCTCTCCCCCACCTAACCATACCTTAGGGAATTAGCTAAAGAGAAAGCAAATGGTAACATTCAATTTTCATCACTATAAATCTCACTAAAAAACAGAAGCAACATTTTGGTTTAGAACTATGATTACAACACATTAAAGGCAAACTTTTCATCAGAACTGGACAGTAAATCTTTCTAGACTTGTTTTGGCATAGTCTGGCCCCCTAATGAGAAATTATAGTTTTCAGTCATATGATTAGGTTGGCCAGATACTCAAAAATCAAATTTACAGCTGACTTTATGTTTTTGTAATGTAATATAATTTTACATACTATTGTTAAATCCAACATTAACTGTCAAAGATATTTCATTACTGGAAAGTCTTCTCGCACTCTAGGAGTAAAGTCAGATTACAGCCATGGGGCCTACTCATGGTATTTCTCAATCTCCTGGAGTCTCTTCTCAGGTCTCCTGAGAGAACCAGGTGCAGTGCAGCCCCCAAGAGGAGGAGCTTAGCATTTGTTAATGGCACTCCTGTTTGGAGAACAATCAGGAGGCCTAGTTCTGACGCTTCCTTTAAAGGTGAAGTAAAATACAAGAGTATATAGAAAAATGAAAATTTAAGTGAAAATCTGAGCATTTAAAATAAGATTTCATTTATCCAGCACTTACAGGCATAGAATTTCCTTTTCTGAAAAAGAACAGGTAAGAACACCAAT